GCAATATTCATACACTTGTGGAGAAATAGTCTTCTGCATCCACTCCCGCAGTTTGCTTAGTTCAGTTTGTTGAAGAATATAGTCGTCACGAAGGCTTTTGTAAACAGTCCAAGCAAATTGTCGATCAGCAAGGGAGGTAGGATTTGTTGATCGTGTACTTCCAGCTGGTGGTGCCAAAGTGTCATCGGTAGGTGGTGCTGGCTTTAAAATTTCTTGTTCATCGCCAGTAATAATTCCCCATAAATTCTTGCCTCTGGCTAAACCTTCAAACTGCGTGTTCCATTCCTTCCAATTCTCTTGGGTTTTCAAAAGGACGGTATTCTGCGTGGACATTTCGTTCGGAGGAAATAAAGTTTCGACCGGTGGATAGCTGAGCTGTATAAGCCGTGGTTCGCTGTATAGGTAGTTTTTGAGCGAATGAGACTCTTAATTGTCAGATATACGGCTAATCCCGAAGAGGAAATAGAGTACGATTGGTGAAAAGGTCTTATTTGAATGTAATTGAGCTTGGGTTGGGTCTCTTCTTGTATTTATTCTTTCTTGGTTATTCTTGATTGATTATTTTGTTGTGTGCTCCACGGGGGTTTTACCCCGATCCAGTCACATGATTCTGGTCCACCAACGGCCATATTATTTGACAAGTTCTTAGCCAAAAGTTTGAATAATCACGCTAAGCTCCCGGTCGCGTCAACCAACGCGTCAAAAAACCTCATCTTTTCAAACACCAACCATGACGCCTAGAAGGCCACCGTTGAGTCCTTTTAGTGCTAATATTAAGCGCTATCAGCAGCTTGATCCGAAGGAACGAGCATATATACAAGGACTTTACCATGGTGGCAGAAAACCTACTGAAATTGCAAGGCTTCTGAACCGGCCCCTTCAAACTATTTACACTACGCTGAACCGAGCATCTTTAAGACAGGATTTTGAAGCCCAACCACGCTCCGGTCGTCCAAAAACCTATACAGATAGAGACAAGCGCCTGGTCATTCGTTTGATCCAGAAAGATCCGTTCATTACCTACGCGGATGTCCAGAAAACACTTAATTTAACAATCTCACGCAATACACTATACCGCATTATTAAAGAGTCTGGATATGGCAAATGGAGGGCTCAAAAGCGCCCGAGATTAACACCAGAGGTAGCTAAGCTTCGATATAACTGGGCAATGGAGTATAAATCACCGATAAGGATTGGGCTAAGATTATCTGGTCGGACGAGTGCTCGGTTGAAATGGGATCCGGCCACCGCCCACAAGTATGTGTTTCGGCTTAATCTTTTTGGTAAAAAGTGGAAAACCGAGTACATACAGCCATATAAGAAAGGGAAAGGAGTCCGCGTGATGGCTGGGCAGCTATTTGGGCAAAAAACGCAGTGATCTTGTTCGTTGGAGGGGATTTTGAAGCTAAAAAGAATGGCTATACTGCAAACTCTTATCTTGCTCTATTAGAGGAATTACTGCCATCTATCTGGGAACCTGGTCTTATTTTCATGCACGACAATGCTCGCATTCATTCAGCGAAAAAGGTTACAACATGATTACAAGATAATAGTATAAAAGTAATGGAATGGCCGCCATACTCTCCGGATTTAAACCCGATTGAACACATGTGGTTTCCACCCAAAGAAGGCGTCTTCGATGTGAATCCCAACATTGAATACTGCAAAGGAGCAACTGAGAAGAAGGAAGATATCTTATGGGACGCTTTATAACAGTCATGGAGCCAAATCCGCGAGGATATTCAAGATGCTTTAATAAAGAGTATGAAAAAGCGTGTTGAGGCGGTTTTGGAGGCAAAGGGGTGGTATACCAAATATTAACTGATTTTGGCGCTTTTTTTGCATATTTTTATAAAATTTGGTCATTTTTCTCAATATATCTATGCTCAAATTAATATAAAACCTCATGTGTTGCAAAATATATATATTTTTGTATGGGGGGTGAACCATGGTTGGGTTGCCCCGCGACCAAATTATGCAAACTTTAATTCCCGACTGTATTATCAATCACCAATCCAGACTCATCGAATCCACCAAGGCGGAGATCCTAGAAATCAAACACGACCAGAATATCCCTCCGATCAGAATGAGAAGCTCCAGGATGAAATCAGAGCCTGAGGGAGCGAGTTGAAACCCTGACGCCGGTGACCCCAACCAGGTCTTTGGTTGAGGTGGCGGCCACCGCCAATAATGGTTCTCTCCAGCCAAGCCATCAACCCGAGAAAGAACGATTGCGTCCGAATAATCACCCAAAGATCCTTTGTGGACCCAAGAGATAACGACAATAGTGACGGAAACACCTTCGGGCGATACCTCCCTACCGATACTGCCAACACCTACATCCGTACTGCGCTGCTAAACACCTCCGCCACGCAAGACGCCGAGGTCGCCGGCATTGGGACTACTAAGACGGGTTATGTTACTCGTTTCAAAGACCCAGAATCGACTGAAGCAGCCCGCAATAACACAGGATGGCTGAATGAACTAGGGAACAGCACGAAAATAGTGAAACCACGGTTTGGGGTAGTTGTCCACCGTACCCCGACAGAGGATTTCGACTTGGAGAACGTAAGCGCTTTGGCCATTGAGAAAATCATAGAAGAAAACAATCTGGTGGAACACGGCTTCCGGATCGAAGAGGTGGCATGGCTCAAGAGGAAGGACAAGGCGTTAGGGAAATTTGCATCTCTCGCTATCTGGTTCGACTCTGCGGAAGGAGCCGAATATATCTTGAATAATGGCCTCCTAGTTGGCCAGAGGTACATTGGCAGCGTAAGCAGCGTAGATCGCCGAGAGATCAAGAAAAAGAGATGCTTCCGGTGCCAACGTTTCGGACACCTAGCATGGTCGTGCAAGGAAACACCAAGTGTGGACACTGTGCCGGCCAACACGAGCGGCAACGATGCCCCTGGGGGTTAGAGCCCGATGCCTCGATTGCAGCGGCGAACACCCAACCGGTGATCGACAGTGTCCTACCCCGGGCTTATCAACGACCACCATAGCCAAAACCTGGATGTACAACCGTCTATCACCACCTATCAAACACACGTTAATCACAGCGCCTGGCGCCTATATCGACCGACCATCGAGACTGACGCAGTTCGGTTTCGTAGTCTGGTCTATGTTAATCGGAGAATCTCGACCTCATCATATTGGCAAATCCCCTGTGAGCACCCAGATTTAACCGCAATAAGATCTGGACGGCAGACTCCCAGATGCTTCTCTATTCAGTTTATCTCCCACCCGTCCCGTTATACACTTCCAACGAGGAGTCGGTGGAATCAGCACTCACAGCAATTCAGAACACAATAACCACTGCTCTCCGGGACGAGTATAGATCAACGAGCGTAGTCCTCGCGGGAGACTTTAACCGCCACCACCCGATCTGGGGTGGCGGCCATATTCAGCCGCAGTTTATTGAGGATGGAAGCGAATTAATCAATTTCTTCCAGGCGAATGGCCTACACAGCTGCCTCCCTCGAGGAACGGCGACCTTCTGGTCTCTCAGCAACCCAGGGAGGAACTCCACCATCGACCAGACGGTAACAAACCGGCCAGATCCACTTATCAAGTGCCATCTCTACCATGATAACTACGGGTCAGATCAACGTGCCACGTATTCGGAATGGAACCTGAGAGTCCAGCGTAAGCCTACCGCAAAGGCGAAGAAGGCCTTTGACCGCGCAGACTGGGACAGTATCGCCAGCGAGGTGCTTCAGCAGATGGGCCCGTGGAAAGAGGTGAAAATCAGACCGGCGCTAGACGAGGTAGTGGAAAGGTCCACGGAAGCGACTGCATCGACAGTGGACAGACACACCCCTAACCTACTACCAATACCATATTCCAAGCGCTGGTTCATGCCAAATCTCAAAATCCAACAGACCCAGGTTAATCAATTACGCCGGAAGTGGCAAGAGAACTGTGCAGAGCTCGGGCGAGAGCATGCACGCTCAGCGACCCTCTTTCAGGAGATGCAACAAAAACGACGTGCATGGACTGGAACGATTGAGAAAGCCAAAGCATCACATTGGAATCAGTTCCTGGACAAAGCCGGGGAAGGAAAGCTCTGGGAAGCGGCACATACATGAAACCACGAGAGACCTGGGGGTGCATTCCGACCTTGAAAGTGGATGCAGACGAGCTCACAGAGAATGAAGACAAAGCTCAGACTTTTCTGGACACTTGAGTAGGCTCTTAGTCGGTCGTCCTGTTCTTGACAATTCCTTGCCCTACTTGGCTTTTGACTCCGCCCTGACCCTTAGTTTAGCCGCCGATTGTAGCACGGCCAGTTGTTGTCGTCGTAAGGGTCACTGCGTGCCTGGCAAGCTGATCGGCTGCCTAGTTCCTAGTTCCCAGGCATCCACTGCAGTGTTACATGGATGCCTTGCTCTTCACATCAACGGAGCAGCTCCAAATATCTCCATAGGATATCCTGTCCAGAGAGTAACCGAGGTCACCTGATCGCTTTTAGGGCCGGCTGGCTGTCTGAGAATACCGGCACCCTATTGTAGAGGCAACTCGTCTAGCACTGCATCCTGTGACTGACACGGTTTCGTATCTCTAGTCTTATCTGGATACTTGGTAACTCGGCGTATGCAGTGGTCGTAGTTCCTGAGCCAAGATAGTTGGTTGTTTGGGTCAGCTAACTGCTGCAGCGCCAAAAAAGAATAAGCCCAGGCTGTAGGTTAAAAAATGTCACCTGCTTCTGGAATTTAAATCCCAGTGGTCAAAATAACGCGGTATCTTATAAGCGGGGTAAATAATAAAAAAATAAACTTCTTCAATTTAACTATAGTAATACTACAGAATTCCATAAGTGGTATGAAATTTTACAGCCTGTTAGCTATGTACGAGTATAGTGAGACTTTCCAATCGCCAATTGCAGACTCATGTCACCAGCTGAACGTGGTCTAATTCCCACCACTTGAAAGACGCTGGATCAACTTTCTCTGATTTATCTCCTGTACATAGGTATACCTCAATATACTCAAAAAACCTGCTTAGAACTCTACCGGGACCAGCTTGCGTGGGGAGTGGTCGATCCCGTTTCTTGGCTGCTTCGAAACATGCCAATAATCCTGTTCTGAGTATGGGCGTTTAAGACCCGTGCTTTTCCATTGTCGAAGATCCGAGCTGGAAAGTTGATGATTAATAAGACAGTTGACTGAGAGAGGAAGGCCGCTTATTTGGCTGCGTCTTCCATCCCCTACTTGGAGCTCGATATTGAGAGCCTCTTCAAGGCTTGACAGCATCACTGTGACTTGGAGCGGTGTGATGGTCTTATATTGCCAGCCGTGGATCCAAAAACAAGCGTCACGCAGGTACTCCTGCAACTGCATGGAGACAAGCACGTCGTCCTCCCAGCGCGAAACAACCGCCAATGTTACGTGGTACACGCCAGCCTTGTCATCAAAAATAGGTCTAGAAGTGATGATAGGGTAGAAAAGCGAGGAAACGAGAGAAAGGCGAAGACGTTTCCCCCGAGATACCTGTGTAGGATCTTGAGCCATCCGCTCCCTGGTCATACGTTTGAGTCGCGGTATAGCGGATGCATCGTCCAGAGCGACTACAGGACATGGGAGGGTTGGATTAATGCGGTGGTGCCGTTCCATTTCGAGATCGCTCAGTTGCGAGACAAAACGGTCGTAGAGAAGCTCGGCATCAAAAGTCCGGGAAACACATTTGGCCACACGACGCAGCCACCGTGGCACTAGGGACTGCCAGGAAATCCGGACAGTATGGGCATTATTGCTCTGTCCGAACCGGCCAGTCCCGAAGCTTGCGGCGTAGTCGGGCATCTGTCCTCTCGACAAGCGATTGGCCTCAATCCGGGCAACTGCCGAGGGGTTGTTGGCTACGAATCCGCCGTCTTGCAACCCCCTCAAGGGAAGGAAGTAGGAAGGGGCCGCACAGCTGGCGGCAATGCTGCATGCGTGCGTGCGCGCTATGCTTAGCCCGTGGACATGATAATCAGGAAGGGCCTCAGTACTTACGACTCTCGGACAGATTCGGGAGGGCTCACGGAGCTGGCCTGTTCCACACCAGTTAGTTTTGCTGGAGAATACGATCGTGAGAGCCAGAGCCGGCCGCTAAAGTCGGTGGCTGTGATGACAACCCGGAGGACATCAGGCGACTCGTCACAGTAGCCATAGAGAGGTGCAGAGCCAAATCCTCTCTGTAGAGCTGCATATAACGGTTCTTCACTATACTTTATACCTTTCCAGATCCGGCGCAGGGCTCGAGGGGCGATTGTCATAAATGTTAGTCTGTAGAAGACTTGACGGGCTGTTTTCGAGAACTCCTTGATACAGCGCTTCAGGGGCCATTTCCGAATGCCCAAAGCCGCTGCGATGATGGAGCCTATGGAGTGTCTTAGGTCAGCGGCAAGCCTGGGCTGGCCATTGTATAGTATGCACTTGACCTGGAAAGAGACTACATACCGGTGCTGGTGCCAACAATCAGATCGAAGTAGTGATGCGCCTGCAATTTCAACGGCAGCTCTCGGACAAGACTGTCCAAAGACACGAGAGACACAATGCCCAGCGTCCCGCCACCATCAAAGCAGGCGATGCGGAGCCCAGCCTGTGGTGGGCGCAACCGGACTTGGCGGTTGACGATTGCATCACAGGCCGGGCAGCGTTGGAAGAATGAAACACACTCAAAGGGATGGCGGCGGAAGGAATGCTTCCATGCATCCCGTTCGCACAGGCCGTGGCCGCAGCGGAGAAAGACAAGAGGCCGATCCCATACGCACGCACAGCACAAGGAGCGTTCCGGCAGATGTGCCCAGAGTGTTCTCACATGCTCTGTAATTTGGAGATCCCAGTTTGTCATTGCCTGCAGGATAGCATTAGAGAGTGCTACTGATGTGATACCTTGGGCCCACTCAGAGCGCTTGGAGGCCAGGCGGAGGCCTTCATCGCACAACGGACGATAGACGGCATGGAATGCCTCACATGCAGGAAATCCTTCATGGAGTATGTTAGAACTGTATTTTGGAAATATGCATGCATATGTGTGTTTGTGTGTGTGAGTGTATAAAAAGTCGTCACTTACTATGTGGCATCTGGCTTGCATCTTCTATAAACAGCTTCGCAAGGAGAGGCCCCATAAAATCACTGAGAGATCGGTCCTGGTTCCCTAGGCATAGCCAATCCCCAAGTAGACTTTGCTGGCTTCGTGATTGCCCAGGCCAGATATCCTCCCTCAGGGCGCCTACAAAATTAAACGATCCGCCCAGTGCTTCAGTGTGGCTGTAGAACTTTTCTACGAGGCGTGTAAGTGTCCTAAGGTTCCACAAGTGTCCACGGTTCTCCCTCTGTCCCCGTGCAAGTTGTAAGATGTCTAATGACTGCAAACAAGCGCTTAGTGCTACAGCTTCTCTTCTCAGAGTTGTGGCCCGGACATAGGTCCGCGAGAGTAATCGGTCTAGGGCTTTGGCTGTCTTCCAGATGGGGCCGGTGCATTGTTCCTGCAGCTTTTGCCAACATTGCTGTCTCGTTGTGCTCATTACGTTGTAGAGCACTCCGTCCCCGTCGCGTGTCGAGTCGCTATCATCAACTAAAATAACAAAAAATGGCCCTTCTTCTGGTGCGATGTGGTCCGTTAGAGTCCAGGCACAGATTTCGTCAATTGCCCAATGCAGGCTTGGCACAAGTATGCAAAGCACATCGCTGAAGACCCAAGAAACGTGACGGATAAAACTCCCCGTAGTTTTGCTCTCTTTCAGCCAGACTCTTTGCTTCTCCCGGGCTCTCCTTTCCTGCATGCCATTTGCACATGGTTCTGTCCAGCCTAAAGTATTGAGGACAATGTCTTGGTTTCCGCATTTCTCCAGCGACGTCCTTAGCTCTCTGGGCTTGATGCAGCGCTGAGCATCCTGACTATCAATCACTGTCACTACACCAGGCTTACTCCTTTCAAGAGAGCGCTCTTTGTCAGGCCCTTCAAACGGAGCATATATGTCGATCCAATCACCCTCCACACTTATCCAAGGTACTGGAGCCATCTGGTTACAACGTTGCAATACTTTCGGTAGAGGAAGTATTCTATATCCTAATTAATATTCCATTTCTCAAGCCCCAAAATTGCCTGCTCGTATTTTAGGTGACCTCTACTGCCCAAAATTATGGTCATCAAATATAGCGGCTCTTTCTTTGGGTGGGGAGACGGGAGTGCTCAAAAGGGGTGCAAAAGCCTCCTAATTTGGGTGCGTCCTTAAAGGGCGGCTTTGATTTCTCTTCATTTCTGAACATTTACATATCTATTTTAACCCTCCAACATGTAACTGAACATAGGGTCAATGTTGATGTCTTCCGGAAATCGTACAATAGCTAATTTCATGGAGACTATCCACCGGTAGAAATAATACCACCAGTAATTCGGACGTTTGTCTTCGTTTACATGTACATACATTTTTCCAGCGGAAAAGATTTTTTTTCTACAAGACATGCTCCAATACAAAGCGCCCGTATGGCTAGATTAACTAAACACAGCACTGAGCCTGGTACATTTCATACCGTGTATATCACTATGTTAAAAGGAACTAGCCACGGGAATATCTAATTTTAATTCCAACGTTCCGTTCCCGATTCCCGCCAAGTACGTCCCATCCTTAACATGTATGGTAGAAGAGGATGGAATTTTCGGGGGCAGTTACTGGAAGGTGCACGTACGTCGGGGCCCAGAAATCTGCTGTAGATGATGTATACAGGCATCCTGCAAGAACTCACCGCGCTCCGGTCGTGCGATCATGGAGGCCGATACCGTGGCCCATCCCAGCTGTTCGGCCTCCTTGACAGGGTCATTGGACAAGAGAAGATGATCAATCGCAGCCAAGCCAAATGTCAGGACGGAGAAGACCCACTCGTCTACGAAGGCGTTAGCTGTCTTAGCGACTGTACACCCCCGCCCGAACGCGGTACTGTCCACCACACAGAGGATAGAAACCTACCGACCACGTCCTCATCCCACGCCCGTGGGTAACGATCTCGAAGAAGACTCCTAACTTTCCACCGCAGTTGCCGTCGAAAAAGATTCCAGATCCACAGCATCATCATGGTTTCACTCGCGGAGAGATTACCATGGTTGCCCTTGCCGAAGCTCTCAGGTGCTAGGTCCAGGACCTCACTGTTCCGGCACCATTCCGAGATGGTGCAGCTGGGAGGGAGGTGCGCTCGGGCACCTCCAGCGAGCCATTCCTGTTGGCCCTCCAAGTCGCCCGCGCGGCCTTTCCCGCAACCAAAGATCCGGCAGAATGTCCAGATGCGCAGACATGCATCATGCACTGCAACAAGGGCTTCTTCGTGGTGGTAAAGGTAGTTTTGCTCTTCGGCGGTGAAGACCGCCCCGATCAATCGCGCCATTACGCAAGCTTCGTAGGCATAGTGGGCCAGGTAATTGGTGGGTGTGACGGTAGGGGCTGGTTGGTCCTTAGTGGTTATGCACCTCAAGTATTCCATGGTGCCCGGGCTGGTCCAGGGCAGGCCCATCTCACGAAGCTCCCACGCCGGCGGGCACATTCTCCACAGTGCTCCGCGGATCAGGGGCATGGCGTTGGCTTGGTAGGCCGTGTAGAAATCCTTGTTCAGGAGCCGGACACTCTCAAGCGTCTGCAGGTCAGGCACGGCCTCCAGAATCCGCAGCGCCACACCCGGAACGAACATCGACAGCAGTGTTCCTTCCAATGCCGTCCATACGTGGTCCAAGTCTGGACTGTGGTTCTGACTCTGGTCCCCTCCTGTCAGACAATTATCGATGCTCGTGAGGCGTAAGTTCTCCCAGCATCCGGCTGGGGTTTCCAGAGGCGATGGGTTCGTCCTCAGAGAATCAGCCTGCAATGTCACCGTGCTGCCAGCAACATTCCCCCATGGTTCAGTAGAGATATGATAAATATCTGTCTTATATTTTTCTATGCAATTGCTGCTAACATCTTGAGTGTTCTTGTGGGCGCTCCGCACAATGGGGGAGGAAAAAACATGGTCCCTCTCCCTCTGTGTGTGTTCACTATTCAGGGCATCACTATTCAGGGCAACACGATGTGGCAATGGACGGGAGAAATCGGGTTGCAAGGCACAGGACCAGAGCATTGGTGATCACGTCGTTACTGCTACTGGGGCTATTCGAGGATGTGAGTTAAATTTATGACTCCCTTCTTCCTAGCAGAACGGACACGCTTCTCCAATTTTTTGTCGTCCCTTCTAAAAATAGATCCAATATAAGGCTTCCTTGTAGATTCTAGTCCATCGCCAACAAGCTCGCTACGTCCGAAATTCCCCCTCCGCCATGTTCCCTTAGTAGCCGTTCTACACCTCTACGGTCCGTGCTTTCCCTCGAGACTGGGCGTTTCCTGCTTTCTGTCAGAATCTCATCCGGAATACCCATAACCAAATGACTCAATGCTGCCGTTGCCCCATCAATTTCCAACACGGCGCAGTTCATAGTATACATTTCAAAGTTACCCTGTAAATTGAACCAGGTCCAAGCAAAAGTGCCTCGCCATTGAGCTGCGTCTGCTGAGATCTGAAACCGTACTCCGATTGAAGAGGACAGTCACATCGACAGGATCACCTTGAACGTGTGTCCGTTCATAGCTCAAGGATGTCTGACATGAGCCACCGCCATGACAACATCATATTATATGATTGGCCAGCGGTGTATTTTGCGGTGTGGTGTGTTAACTGGCTCAATTCAGGATGCCAACTCAAAATCGCGTCAGAAATTTTCTAGCGCCTAAGAAGGTGTTCTTGTTAAGCATCTAAATAAGCTCAGTGAATAGGGACTCCCACCCAGTCCCCAAATAGTAAAAAATATTGCAGAGGAGTTGGCAAAAACCGAGATAAGTTTCGTGTACTGTATCTACGCACCATAGATTATCAATGAAAAGTCGCGGATAATTTAAGGTATTTTCATGACATCTTCAGCCTGGTAAGATCTAATTTTTTGGGGTTTTTTTTATAGTATTGTGTCGCTTTATGTTAAATTGTGTTGCCCTTATGCCACGGGCCAACGATTTTTATCTAGCTCCAGGAAAAGATACAAAAACACAACATCATCACTCCCTCAAATGTTTATAATTGTGATGAGAAGGGACTTGGTATCGGTCTCCATTGCTCAGCCAAGCTGTTGTCTCTGTCAAGGCGTTCGAAATTGGGCAGTTGATTGGGGCAAGTCAAGATGGCAACGGTGAGTTTAATACACTTATTGTGTGCACCTGAGCAGATGGCCCGTCTCTGCCACCTGCTTTAATCTATAGAGCAGAGTTGAATAGCTTGCAGGATACTTGGATAGAGGATTTTGGCCATTCTAAGCTCAGGCATTCTTCTCCACTTCGAAAGGGTGTAGATCGCTTTTATCGACGTATTATTCGCAAGAACTTGACGGTTGGCTGGCCAACAGCCAAGGAAATTCCAGATGTCGAAGTGACATTTCTGGAAAATATTTCAAAGGGCTTGGAATGTGCATTTACATCTGAAAATATTCTGGGACGGTGGCGAACATTTAATCATAGAAGGTTATTAGCAAAAATTCCTCGCGACAATCCCCTACACCATCTCAATCACCCTCTATACTATCTATCTGTAAAAGTCTCCAGGGTCTCTACACTCAATGAGATTGATTGTACGTCAGCTCCAAAAGGAAGTGGGCGCTAATTCTTCTAAAATTTCAGCGCTTGCACGTTACAGTATTATAAAAAGATGTGTACTAGGTGTAAGACCTTGGAACGCGAAAATCGTGGCCTGATTGTCTTATTTCAAGAAAGAAAAAAGCATCGTAAGCGAGGCAAGCCTTTTAATGCATCTGAATGGGTGTAATGCCACCGCAGATTATTCTTGCGGGTGAGAATCACCAATCTCAATGGTATAAAAATTTACAGAAGACTATCGCAGCTCTATGAGTAAGAATGGATGGATAAATGACAATGTAGGCTTAGATTGTCTACTAAATTGCTTTGATCCGTATACAACGCCATGTACAGTTGGGAGACGCCGTGTTTTAGTTATAGATGGACATAGTAGCCATGCTACTGCAGAGTTTGATAAACTGTGTACAGATAAAAGGGTTTACTGTATTCCTGTCTATTTACCTCCTCAGTCTTCTCATCATCTACAGCCCACTAGATCTGAGCTGCTTCTCACCATTGGAGTACCTTTACGGCCAAAGTATTGCAGAGATGATACGGCAAGGAATCCACTCTATTAAGAAACAAGGCTTTTTGGCTATCTATTCTTCAGTTCATCTCCAAGCTTTGTCATTATCAAATATACGAAGTGGCTTCAAGCAACAACTGGTCTTGTTCCACTACGACCAGAGACTGTTCTTTCAAAGCTTGATATTCAGCTTAAAACACCAACTCCACCGCCCACAGAACATAACAATGAGCCTTTTGAAATTGGAAAGACCCCCGCAAATCTACATCAACTAGAACAGCAGAAAAAGCGGATTCAGCTCCTTCGAGGCAAACTATCTACCTCTCCAACCGTTGTACATCAAGCTATGGATAAGAAAAGTGCAGGTTACAATGCAGAATGCTCTCCAAGCAAAACAGGCACTTCGTCAGCTTCAGGAAGGTAATAATTATCAAAACCAGAAGGAGACAGCACCTCGAATCTTTATACAGAGTGGGAAAGCCTAACAGGGGAAGAAGGACAGCAAAAAGCGCTTGAGCAAGAGATGCTAAAGCAGAATTTAAAAGCACCACGAAGGCCACCAACCTGCAGTAATTGTGGTAAACAAGGTCATAATAAGCTCAAGTGTCCTATTAAATAATGTCATCTTGATTATACCATTAAATCCCTATTTTGTTGAGATATTAATTAATTAAAGGCCGTTTAGTAGGGAAGTGACCACCTGGTAGCCGATTACGTGTAATATCCTTTACGAGGGAAATTTAATCCTAGATTATCGAATCGATGAATTAGCAAGTCAATTCTTCCACGGTACAAAAGCAAAGTGCTGAAACACGAAAAAACAAAAAAAAAAAAGGGAGGGGGGAAATGCCATTGCCAAAAAAAGTGCTCGCCATACAATAACCTACTTCTGCCGCATTTCCATGTGCGCGGTTGATAACTGTTGTGGAACTCAGGGGGAAATGGGGCGTAGGGAGCTATTCTATCAACTACAGGCCAACTAGCCTAATTAGGAAGTAGATGTCATTCAGTGGAAACACCAGGAATCGCAGTATCTCAACCAACTGAGCCTAAAAGATTCAGGGGTTGAATCGATCGTCAGATACTCCGCACCGCCAAGTCGGGCGGATTATAGTGTTTCCGTAACAATAACGATAGCATATTGTTAACCGTTGGAGAGACCGAGAGATCCGCGATGGCACTGATCCGAAAAAATACGTCGCATCCGTACTGAACGTTGGCCCCAGCAATGAGCAGACACCTCTTCGTGGTGCCGGGGATGAATACGCAGGCAGTTTGTGGTGGTGCTGCTTGAGGAAACTAAGTGGTGGTCTGGGATGGCTGAACGCGACGCGACAAGCAGACAACAACACCAACGACGAATAGCCAAGATGCCTGTCTACCACCTTGTCTCGCTGTAATCAATGAACTGAAGATGTCTGCCGGTTTCATGTCTTATCTTGCTAGGATCAACCCAATGGTTAACACTATAATCGTTAGTGGGCGATGACTAGACCTCCGCTGTCCTGGTCTATCGCGACATCTACACTAGAGCCAACACGTTCTCCAACATTACTGCCTCATGGTTCTAAGGCTATATATACAATGGCTTCGGCAAAAGAGATACTTCAATTCCTTTCTCTTCATGTGTTCAGTTGCTGTCTGTGGTTCTGATAGTGCTATCACAATCGATACATACAAGAAAGGTTCTTCCGGTGTGGTCTTCTTCGTGCTTCCGCTCAATTGCTCGCAGTGGTTTCCAGTGGAACATAACAATCGTTACAACAAAATACTCTTGGTGTTGTCTCCAACGTGACTCTGTCTACTGTAAACTTATTGGTCATGGTCTTTAGTGATCTACAGCTCAACTAGTCGCTCTAACGTGTCTCAGTTAAATGGCTATATACGAATTCCTCACCAGGGATCGGGCGAAAAGGTTTATTGGAAACCTCTCTCTAAGGCTTTCCTATGTTTCCATATTTTGTGATTTAGTTTGATTTTGCTCTGTTTCTCTTTGTTTCTCTTCAGGGATTCGCGAAAGCCGCGGTCCAGAGGGGCCGCGTAGCTTATAACCAAGGCACCAACTAGTTACGTATGGGACGCATCATCTGTAGCTTATATTTACGCAAACGGAAATGCGTACAACGTATGATGGCTTAGACGAGTAGCTAGTTATGCATGCGAAGCATCATCGGTAGCTTATATTTACGCAAACGGAACTGCGTACAACGTAACCTGATGGCTGATTACCAAATACATAATTACGGCGGACTGAATCGAGCAGTGTGGACAAAAGTGTATTTTTCAAAAATTTCATATTACCACTACCCCCAGGTGTCAAGTAAAATATTGTTTGTCAAGGGCTGAACCCGTAGTACCTATAGGCAGCAACCGATAGCAGTACGGTAGGGGAGAGATGGCATGAGAGATGGGACCAGGAAAGGGACGCAAGGGGTGAAAGAAAACATTGTAGATGACCTTTCCAACCATGTGAAGAACGGCCTGGATATCATCCCGTAAACCGAACCAGAAAGAACAGGCGGGAGAAAGGCGAAGTTGCATACTATAACAACGACCGTCACCACCAAGCTGCGCGTCTGGTCCATCAAGAACGCCATAACGAAAGGCTGTATACACCTTTCAACCCGTCCTATGACAATGCCAAGCAAGCCAAATCGAGTCCGTCTAGGTTACTAGACAGTCTCTGAGGATCCCTATAGACAGATGGAAGAGACGGAGAAGAAGAATTGCTTGCCGGCGGATTGGAAGACATATTAATTTTAAACGAGGTTATTCTTAGCCGGTCAGGTAAACATAGGTACTGTACAGTTTCGGACTGAAGGCCTCAATTTAGGCGCAAGAAGCTACGTCTAGTTGCAGCGCCTGGTTAAGATATCCCTCCCTGGTCTTTGTCTCCTCCCCTTTTAAGGGCAAGCTGTATCCGCTCTATAGATATTCTCTCCGTGTATCCGGACTCATTCAGTCCAATCCAAAAAGGAAGCCCTTAACATGGATCAGGCGACTCATCATTTCCAACAGTGTGTAACTCAAGTCGATGTGGAACATGAGAGCGCTCTTCACGTAACCTGTATAGCAGTGGAGACTCCACAAACAGTTCCCCCAAGCACGGCTGGCTTTCTTTCTGGCGGTAGCCAACAGCTTAGGAGTATTACTACATGCAACGACGAGGATATGAAGCGTAGCAAAGGGGCACCTGATACTCCCAGGAACTTGACCTCTACAACCCTGAATTGCCTGGAGACACTGAACACCAATGCGGTCGGCATCGACACCACCCAAAGTCCCCTAGCAAGCTCAGTGGATGCAAACCCACAAAGACTTTGGGACACACCGGACCGGTACATAGATTATAAAAAGCAATCGACTAAAACAAAAGCTCCACATTCTGTGGAGGCGATCGCACGGGGCGCTTTGCGCGAAGATCTCGAGCAGTTCCTGGAGCGATGCTGGGACTCTCTCTATCTAGACGAACTGTATGAAACCGGGACCAACGTTTTAGGGATTTACGCTCTCAAAGAACTGGCGTCCGATAAGGGACCATTCCGTTCGCTGCGAATGTCTGTCGCTCTCCTGCGTAATCATATTCACTTTGAAGGAATCTTAAGTAACGAGAAACGTCTCCTGGAGAGTGGCATCCAGGTGCGCAGAGGCCGCCAAAAGAACGTGGAAATCGCATATGATAAGTACCTAGAGGAGACATGCTCAGTGCCGCCGCCTGACAACAAGGCTCAGGAGAGAAGAAAATGTAAACTTAGGGACCAGCGGCGTTACGCGAACCGATGGCTCACTCTAATCAACGGGGTGCCTTGCTGTAAGCGTAAGCCCGCTGTCCCCGGACTCGGACCGGGGTTATTACTTGTATGCAGCGATTGGCTAGCGAATACCGTGTAAGGCAATCTCGAGTGCAGTGGCTACTACAGTAGGGGCCACAAAGCTTTCACGGCTAACATTTTGTATACAGGTGGAATACACACTACAATAATGATTTCATCGAAAAGATGCTATCCTATATTCAGGACAATCGACCGGATATGGTGAGAGCATGCCATGTGATGAACGAGCCTGTTCGGAATTTAATAGGGCATGGGACGGTGTGCGAGCCATCTCAGAGGATAGTAGACAAGCACACAAATCTTGATCAAATCCTTCAACAGCTGCAGCCATGTCTCACGAATTCTATTTCTATTAAGGCACGCCTTTGATTGTCACGGCTCAATCTAGGACAGGATATCTTCATATAACAAATGAATCTATTCCCACTAACTTGGTAGCTCTTCAACGAGAATATCAAATATGTAGAGGTGAGGAAGAATGGATGGATCAATACATACAATGTTAGTTGTGACTTGTGGGGTGTTGTGGAATTCAGGGGAAGTGATGCGCAGGGAGCTATTCTATCAGCTACAGGCCAACTTAGCCTAATTAGGAAGTAGATGTCATTCAGTGGAAACACCAGGAATCACAGTATCTCAACCAACTGAGTCTCTTGCATTCCTGTCTAGGTGCTCTACTCCAGACCTTGGGTGCTCAACTATCTAAAGGATTCAGGGGTTGAATCGATCCGATCGTCAGATACTCTGCACCGCCAAGTCGGGCGGATTAACTATAGTATTTCCGTAATATGGGGAAACCAGAAGATCACATGACCCAGGTGACAAGGTCATCATATTAATCCCACAATATAGAGATTTTCCCACATTTCCTGTACGATACTGTAGAATTCTTTCTTTCTTCGTTCCTTCTCTACGTTTGATGTTTCGTTTGATTGCGACCTTAGATATAATCAATCTATTTTAGCAAGGTGTACAGGATCATCACACCTTTAATTCCTTTATTTTCCAGTCAATCTCTTCGTTTCTAGTTAAAAATTGGAGAAAATGGAGAAAATGGAGAAAGTACTGAAACTAAATATTAATATTTATGAAGTCTAAATTTGTAGCCAGTGAATGGAAAGTGAGACCTAGGAGAATACAGTACAGTACTACTGTATAAGGAAAGTGAGAGAAATAAGAGAAATGAGAGTCATTGTGACCACCGATAGATTCTCCTAGGCTTAGGCATTTCATATGCCAGACAAGCGCGTAAAAGTATGTCATCAAGAGCACCGAGATGTCCTCTTGAGCCTGGTATTGTATAGCCTGAATACATTATCGGGACAGAAATCGGGGCAGAATCGACAGCACGACCAATGCGGCATACGCTGTTCCAATTTAGTGTCAAATCCCACCAGAATCCAAGATATATACTTGCCCTGAAAAAGCAGCCTTGCTGGGTCTGGTGATGAGGGCGTGCAATTCCGACAGCAACAATTTTCCTGCGCTGTTCTGCCACTTTGATACACTGATATACACCTCCTACGCATGCTAAAGTAAATGCAGTTCAATCTGGACAGTGATCACAGGAGAACTTATATGGACGTGTAAATTAAGGCACCTATATCCGGCTATCGAGGTCTATTCCGAGTGAGCAGCAACCGGCCAGAGAAGGCAAAAATAGAATTCGCCTTATATACCATATACTGACCAGAGTTTGATTTGAAAATTTTTAGGAAAAAGATTTAGGGATCTTAAACTTAATTTAATCTAGTTAATAGACTAGCTCCAAGAAGGAACAAAATCATGGACACCTACTATGCCTTCTTGCCGAGCAACGTCTTTGTAAACTCCGGCCCAAGGGAAATAAATGGTCGAGGACGATGGCGGACTGGGTGGTTATCTTCACTGGGCGGATTACAGTATAGTATTTCCATAACAGAAACAAATGTTACCAATACTCGTAGGCTCGTTAGAGAAGATTCGCTGATAATACTCAGCAGCATATGAATGCTTGGGAGGTATGTATGTACTGTAGATTTCTGGTACGGTAGTTGAGTGCGAAATTGTGACGGAGGTACTTTAGAAACGAAAATCAGAGCCGACTTTAAATAATTATATCTGGTTAATAAATTATCAGCTAATGTTCCCATCCATAAACCCTTAATTATACTTTCAAATTAAGCTCTAGACAGGAATACTCAAAACTAGTGTCATGTATCGTAGTGAATTTCTGAGGACTACTGGGTTACACATGTTTATTCCTTTCTACAGAAGTCATCTCCCTTTCCATATAGATTCTCAGCATGGGCCGAAATCACCAAATTTGTATCAATTGTCAAAAGGGGAAATCCTTGCACAAAGGATCGAACACTGGAGCCATTTAGGCCGCCTTGAATTCCTGGATTCTCCGCCGTGGTAACCGTGCCCAATATGCCAACTATTTGCAGAGGGAGTCGAAATGACAATCTGTTAACCAGGATAGGCACCGCAGGAATTGCTGCTGCTTTTCGGCAAGCCGTGTGAAATGTCTCGACACAAGCTACGAGGTCGCGTACTTCGTACTTCCAAGCCAAGGCCGCCCACGGTAATACCAGCAACCAGTACTTATACACCAGTTGGGCCATCCCACCGTTTAACGCTGGCCACATGGATGGTCAGTAGGCGCAACCAATCCATACTCGAAGGCTCAGCGCGGAACTTGCCAGATGCGCCGGGAAACAGCTGGTTCCACTAAAGGGTGACCCCGGAAGCGCTGAGAATTGTCTGACCGTGAACATCTTCCGCCCTTGTGGGATGCAAGGGAGAAAACTGCCTGTCGCTGTGTATATCCATGGAGAGAGCTTACAATCGCAGCTCGGGGATGGGTTTTCACGACACTGCTCCACAGTGACTTTTGCTGATAGTAGGGTGCACAATACTGCGTCTATGCTGGGATGATCTGCGGAGCCATTTACCGGCGTCTCTTTAATTACCGTGTGCTGCGTCCTATGTTAAGGTCTTTGGGGCATCGCTTTAACGTTACCAGACTAGGAGCGCTCGAATTTCTTCCATCGTCTATTACGGCCCAGGAAGGTCTTTGAACCTCGGCCTGCATGATCAAATTCTCCAGCTGAACTGGGTCCACTACAATATTGAGGACTTGAGGGCCAACGTATCGCAGGTGACGTTATTCAGCGTATCAGTAGGAGCTCATTCAGGGCGGACAGAGCGAGCACGTTGACACTCTATGGCTGATTTCCACAGAGTGTATATTATGTTATGAACACATAGCTCGAAGATAAGCTGTTCCATCGCACAATCATCGAGCCCGGCGCCGCCACATCGCGTGCCGTACATCCGCCCAATGCCAGCCTTCATAAGGACCAGTTCTGCCGGTTCGTGCATGTGTCCGGCAGCGGCAATATTCCTGACCAGGAAATCTTCAGCTGTCTGCGTCAACGGCCCCTGGATGAAATCATCAATGCCTTCTTAGCCGTCATCGATAGATACAACCCGTCTTTGCGCCGCGAGTTCCAATCCGCCATCTACGGTGATCTCATCGCGCAACGCCCCGATGACGTGTGGAATTCCTGCCAATGGAACAAGATACCTATCCTAACTGGATTCAACATTAATGAAGGCACTACTATGTGCCTCAATATCTCCAAGTCCGAGGAGTTCACAGCGTTCTTCCGTACCCTTCTTCCCGCTTTCTGGGATGAAAATCTCAAGACCATTGACTCCCTATACCCACCCGGCACGGGATCCGTCTTCCTTTGCCTGGAAACGACAATTCCGTTGGTCCGCAGTATAAGCGTGTCGAGGCCGCGTACAGGCGGTATGCATATCTGTGCCCCTGTGCAGTTAGCAAAAGACGAGTGGAGTCGCCGAGAATATGGCTTTTGGTGGACCAAGACAGGGTTATCAGACTAACTGCACCATGGATGTGTACAGAGTGAAGTGGCATTAGATCGTTAAGTTATATACGACTTGCGGCCGATGGAGTTGACGTCTCTCGGCTCTTGAGTAACACTGTTGGCCCCATGCCCCACTATCGTTTTCAATTCCCGTTGCAAATGGCGCTAGAGATGTGTGCCGAGCTCAAGTCGATGGGCTCCTCGCTAGTGTCTATCAAGGAAATGGAGGGCACCGAAGCGCTGGCGAACCTTTGTGCACGTCAGGACAAGGTGATTCAGTGGTTGATGATTGAAATGAAGAATACGGCAAAGGAAGCCGACGCGAGCATTGATGTCCTTCTTGAAGCGCGCAAGGCCCAGGTGGCCAGGTTAGAATACTACCTCACACTCACGGGGTGTGACGACTAGGTCCGTCCCCAATGACCCAAGATTGAGAGGATATCGCGAAGTCGATCGAGAAGCCGACGGCAGACGATCTTCGAACGACGTCCCACGAGAAGCTCCCGCGGCTCCTAACTGAAAAGCCACCGTTCTCGATATCGCGGCGAGTGTCATCATGATCATATCGGACATCAACGAGGCGGCGGAGACCCTCGGCGTCGGAGTCTCCATCGATCCCGTCACAAAGAACATGTGCGGCCATGCTGATCACATCCAACGTCATGCGTTTCCAAACAGATACTGACGTCCCAGATGAGGGAGATGTGCGAGCGCGTTATCCAGCTCCAGCAGCAGCAGGCCGACTATACGCGGGACACGGAGGCATGACTCAAGACAAAGAACAGCAGGGAGCAGCTCTACGGGTGGTGTAATTGGGCGTTGGCAGTTAAATTTAGTTACAGTACTGTACCACTTCTGCGGAGCAGGTGCGAATGAGGTAAAAGTTCGCTGAAAACTTGAATTGATCGGGGGATATTCAATTTGTGGTGTAATTGTATGCCGAGCGGAAGCTAAACAGGTCCGATGGGGTTCCGCACGCGGGGTATCCCGACACTTCAAAGACACCTGAAAATTCAGCAAAGGAAGAGCGTCACTCCCACCGGTCCTAGGAGGCCAGAAGTGAGGCACTCAAGCGCAATCTACACCGATACTCATCCTTGATTTGTCTTACTGAGGGACAGCAATGGAAGGTCATGAACCAGGAAGTCCGAAAGCTGATCGACAGCCGGGAAGAAATTATCAACCACCAGACCGGAGTTATTGAATCAGCCTGAATTGAAATCCAAGAGGTCAGAACTGGACAGCAGGAGCTGAAAGACCAGAACATAGAACTACAGGAGGAGATTCAGGCCATTCGAGGGCAAATCGAGGCGCGACCTGCGAACAACCACCCAGCCAAGACATGTGCAGAAGTGGCATCCAATGCCCCCCATTCCACAGCGCTCTGGACACCATTGAAAGCGATGAAAACCGGTTCACACGATACCTACCAATAGAGAGCGCCAATTCACATATTAGGGCGGCCCTACTAAATGCGAAAACCACAAAGGACGTGCAGGTAGCCGGAATTGGAACAATCAAAATAGGATACATTGTTAGATTTAAGGATGCTCAGTTAGCCGATACAGCTCGTAACAACACAGAATGGCTTGGGGAAGTGGGTAAAGACGCGAAGCTGGTGGGAAAGCGGTTTGGTATGGTGATCCACCGCATCCCTACTGAAGACTTCAATTTGGAAGCAAACAAGGCACGACGAATAGAGACTGTTGAAGTAATAAGATCCTTGCATCCTTTATTATCAATGTGGAATGCAATAGGATCCAAAGGCGCAGGGTAGATCTCCATCTTGTTAAGTAGGCGACGTAGCTATTAAGTTTCCCGAGCTGCGTCCGACGCCGCCATATATTCTGCCTCATTGGATAATAAGGTAATAGATGTTTGTTTGGCAGATCGCTATAATATTAGAGCACCGGCTAAAAGTACGATATAGCCTGATACTGACAATTATAATAAGGACCTCCCCAGTCCGAATGGTATAAACTAGTGGTTGCGGTAGGGGTCCATTTAACATGCGAAAGGTATACCCCGTGTATAAAATCTTTAAATATCGAATTAAGTGTTTGGCCGCTCCGAATCCTTTCTAGTAGGGGCCTTGTTAAATTACGCTAGCAAGCTCGCGATACATATAATATCTGGACGGGTTCTTAAGGCATGGAAGAAAACGACCTAGCTGCTCGGGGTTACCAGGTGGAAGACATAGCATGGCTCAGGAGAACAGATAAACCACAGGTAACTAGGGTACGATGGGCGTCTGGCTCAACACAGCTGAAGTTGCTGAATGGATCATCCACAACGGTCTCCAGGGGGACAGCGATATATTAGAAGCATTGAACCATACCAAATTAAAAGGAAACGATGCTTCCGATGCCAAAAATATGGCCATCCGGCATGGTCATGTTAGGAACCGGCAAGGTGCGGGCACTGCGCGGGCAGCCACGTACAGTGGCACTGCACTCCAGAGGTCAGAGGTAAATGCCTGGGGTGCAATGGAGAACATCCGACTGGAGACCACAGATGCCAAACCCCCCTTAACGGAGACCTGCAATATTAAAACGAAACCTACGCATGCTACAGTTGAACATTATAAAAGTCTAGGCCATGCACGGAGGCATTGGTCAATGATACAAATCCCCAAAGCCTTGAAATTCTTCTTATACACGAACCACCAATCTCAGCATTCCAAATGTATGTGAACCACAGCGCCTGGGGTGCCTATCAGCCACATACGCAGACATGAACACAAGGAAAAGGACCCTACTTTATGTTAATAGGAGAATCTCGACAGCATCACACCGCCAAATTAAATTCAATTATCTAGATGTCACGCAGTCAAGATATAGACCACAGAGATGCAGATGCTCCTATTTTCCATTTATATCCCACCTGTGGAACTCTTTCAGTTGCGGGTAATTATTTCCATACGGCCTATACTCGACGAAATACATCCCATGATTCAGGCGCACAGCCAAGAAAGCAGACAGTCAAGAGTTGTCCTAGCGGGGGACCTTAATCATCACCACCCACCCTGGAGACAAACCCAGTGCACCAGGTGTTCATGGAACAGGCGCGGCGCAGGAGCTAATCAACTTCTTCCAGAATCGCGGAATGCGATGGTGCCTCCCTCGAGGCACGCCAACATACTGGTCCTTAAGCCATCCTGGAAAGAAGTCTACAATCGAACTTACTGTAAGAGACTCCCCTAAAAAAAGTGTTTAAATGCTACCTGTACCATGAAAACTATAGATCTGACCACCAAGCGACCTACTCCGAGTAAAAAATGTATGACCGAGCAGACTGAGCCAAGATCGGACAGATGGTGCAAACGGCCCTCGAGCTATGGCCAATTATTACCTCTAAAGCTGAACTTGACCACACAGTTGGAAGGCTAGTCTCGTCTATTCCCCAAGCAATTGAACAGGATACACATTTAGCAAGATTTTAGCCCTACTCCAAACGATGGTTCACCCCCGAGCTAAAGATACACCAAGCGGAGGCAAACCGCGCTCGACGGAGCAAGAGAGCTGCGTTGTCCGAGGCGGCCAAGATCCCTACTTATTACTTCTGTTTGAAGAAATGCGTCGCAAACGCAGCGCTTGGACAAGAGTGATTGAAAAGACAAAAACCATGCACTGGAGGGAATTCCTGGATAAAGCAGGTGAAGGCGAACAGCCCGCAGTTCTCGGTGAAGAAAGACAGGCGCTTAGCCATTCAGCAGCGAGATGGTCGATACGCACCCGGTACTGCATAGTCAGGCTTGCCCAGCTTTTACAGGACTACTATCTTAGCTTGCTTGAGCAACTTTATGAATTGAGGTGGAAGAAACATGTCCAACAAGCAGTGAAGCGAGCTACAAAGGTAAATATCACGATGTGTGGTCTGAGACACTCCAGCCCAAAATAGATGAGGCAATTATATCGAGCGTGTGGGGCCCCATCGTGGACTACGCATCGACAGTCTGGCACTATCCACAGAAAAACAAAACACAGCTTGAAGCCCTCCGCACGATACAGAAGGCCACACTAATCCGAATCGTGCCCGCATTTAAGACAGTTGTAACACAGACATTGGAGGTGGAAACATACACGGTGCTAACCCACTTAAGGCTCCAACAACAGGTACAAAATACTGTCGCTAGTCTGCACACACTCCCTAGCGACCACCCGATACGTGAGGTGCTAGAGAGAGCCCGAAGATGGAGTCGCAATGCAGTGCTGAGGTTTCGTTTCCCTCTTGCACAGATAATGAAGACCATGAATCTCGAGCGACTTCAGGCTATCGAAATTATCGACCCAAAGGGGCTGGCACCATGGACCCCGCCGGTATTTGTAGAGATTGACATCGAACCAGATTGACAAAAGGCTAAAGAGAAAAGCCACCTCCCTGCAGACAACTACAAGTACAATCATCTATTCAGATGCAGTTGGGCAGCATAACCAACTCGGCGCTGAAGCGGTAGCCTAGATTCGAACTTGGAATAGTTCCACTCTAATGACTTTGCGAAGACATAGGTGATGAGTTTTCTAATATGCGTCCATAGGCATTTCCACACCAGTATTGGGATGCTATCCTCCCCGGAGCGGTTGACACTTTCGCCCTTGTAACTGCTTGGTAGACTTCGTGTTCTGTAAGCGGCTCCCTTGGAATTCATCCCTTTGTGCCATGACCGTGTTCTCACGGGGTTTATCCATCTTCGGGAGAAACGACTCCATCAGGACCTCGGCTTTGTCTTCATTCTCTGTGCGTCTGAAAGCCCTGGGAATCCCAGCCATTGCTCGGCGCTGGATCCAAAGCTTCATGGAACACCACACCGCGAGCATCGGCTTCGGTGACTTTGAGACCTGTTACCCCCCTAGATAATGCAGGGTTAGCCAAGCATTCCCACTGTCGCCAAATTCTCTTCACACTCTTCAACTTGGTCCTAGTAGACCAGAGGGTAGATTACCATGGCGGCGCATCAACCTTTATTGACGACTACTTCCGCTTGCGTACTGGCCGATAGGCGGAAGACAACCTCCAGAAGATCCAGGAAGAGGATATCCAATGAATTGAAACATGGTCAGGGGCTTGTTTTGCAGCTGATAAAACCGAGTTAATCCATGTTACAAGAAAGAAAGGAGAGAAGGGCAAAGGGCAAATCATCATGCAAGGCAATATAATCAAACCTTCTAGCACAGCCAGGCTCCTCCTTAAAATATTCCACAGGGCAGGGAGACCTTCGGCAGCAAATCGGAAACCAGCAACAATTCTCTGTGACAGTATGTCAGCACTGCAGGCTATCACAACACTAGCGGATTATCTATTCCACTCTACAGACTGCAAGAGAATCAAAAGGGTGAGGTTTTTCCCTCCTTCAATGGATCCGGGGCATTGCAACGATCCCGAGAACGATGCAGAGGACCATTAGCCAAAGAGGCCGTGGATCGAAAGGCACGCACCCATTCCCGACGCTTGGTCTCGCGAGAAGGAGGGTTTATTCGGGAGCAGATTCTAAAGAAGTGGGGCGGGAAATAGAACTCATCTAATAAAGGTGAATATCTCCGCCGAATCGATAACTCGCTGCCCTCCATTCACGCCCAACAAGTATATGACTGTTACCTCGTAACAGAGCCTACTTACTAACATAACTACGAACCGGTCACTTGTGGCATGCTCCCCATGGCAAATGCCATCGTTTGCGTGAGGATAATAAATGTGAATGCGGTGCGAAAGAGACCTTGGTCCATGTTCTCGTGGACTACCCTAATTTAAGGGCCCCTCGACTAAAGCTACGGCAAGAGGTTGGCGCAGGATTTAACGACCATCCCTCTAGGAGCAAAGGGTCTACAAGTGAAGAAGGCAAGCCGAGCGGCTCCGACCAAAGGAGCAGCCTTAGCGTTGTGCTAGAGTTCGCAGAAACATCCGGTATGTTTCGCAGCCGCGAGCCCATCAGGCCGCCATGACCAGAAACAAGGCAAATAGGGCACGACAGGCCTTGTCGAGGCTCTAAATTTGTTTGCATGAAGCGGTACATTGTAAATAGATACTCAAGGATCGTAATAGTTGTAGTTGCCTATATCACCGTAGGCGAGGGGTCAGGGCAAATGAAATCATCCATCCATGGTGTACCTCTTCCCCAGCGATGGGCAGACACCTCTTCGTGGTGCTGGGGACGAGTAGCCAAGCAGTATTTGTGTGTGATGCTGCTTGATGGCAAAGATCTGCCCAAAGGATGAAAATGGTGGTCTGGGATGGTAGGATGGCGATCCCGACGCGTCCGGGAAAATGCTGACAAGTAGACAAGCAGTACAAACTGCAAGGCATCCACGGTCTAGGCGCAGAGTCTAACAGACTTGGTACAACACAAATCCTTGCCTAAATGACAGATGAGTGTATTTCCTATACCAACCCCCCTGGCACATGTTAATTTCCAGCCTACTAGTATAATTCCGTACGGTTCGTCCTTCCATATAAAGTTATCCCTCCTAGGCGGCATTCATTGCATCTTATTTATACCTTCTCTCTCCTGTGTATCCTAAAATCAAACTGATAAATATAAACGGCTATGCTTTCGATGAAAACCCACTACCTCACCTTGACTCTCACAGTTATTCTAACCATAGCCATAAACCAGGTGAGTAAGCCAGACTCGAAGATGCTTCCGAACATGAAAAGTTCTAAGATGATTCTTGCAGCTGGGTATGGGCCAACATAAATATGTCCTATCCGATACAGAAGAAAAACTACCATGGTATAAAGAGCACCTGGGCTTTGTCAAGGACTGCGTGGATGGGCTAGAGTCTGCTGAGGAGCTCTGTGGCACGAGCTGGTTTTGCTTTCGCCGCTGGCAGGAACAGTATAGTAGCTGTGAGGCTTGTATTTCAGCCCGACGGTCATAAACTCAGAGGGTTCAGTTTGGCTGAATGTTATTGTATTAATCTCCCACGGCTGGTCACCTCCGTTTTGGCTATGGTCTTGCTGTCTATTTGGACTTGTTCTTCTCTTCTTTTCTAGTTATTCACTGTATCGAAATCTTGACGCGATCTTAGTCGCAGGAGCAATTTTGCTCACGACTCCAACAGCTCGGCACTGGTGCCGCCCCATTAACCTTGGTTGATTCTACTTCGTAGCAATATTCCCAATGGATGACGCTGATCTGAATACGACGGTATTTGCAGAGCTAGAGGCCGTGACAACCACACTAAGACCCTAAGCTTATTCCTGCCAGCCTTGGAAGTAAGCCGTCCTCCACATATAGAAAATATCTGTTCAGACTTTTTGTTTATTTAATTTGTTGCCCTTTCTGCCTGCCATTCCAACAAGAATGGAGTTGTGCTGTATTTAAGAATCGATCTTGCTTTCACAATTCTAGCCTTATCCCTGTGCAGCAGTTTTCGTTGATACTACGCCTGGATACAGAACTTCTAGCTACAACATTTTTATTGCATCAGTTGCCATATCCATGAACGGCTGATGGGATGAAATAAAAGTCTAGCAAAGGTAGTGCCACATGTCCAACCGAGAGCTGGAAAGTCAATATTGGTCCTCAGTCTAAGCAATTTAGTGTACAAGCACTGACGAGCGAACCCAAAACATTATATGTTATCTTTCCTTTTTTGATAGCAGTATAATAATATAGGGACCGATTTTTGTTTCTTTATAAGTGCGGGCGAAAAGACGCGTTAGCACCTTCTGAAACTGGAATGTAGATTTCAATATGCAGTTATAGACATTATTATAAACACTATGACATTCATCTTGCCACTTCCACGCTTCTATTTAAATGATGACTACCTAAGCAAGGGAGCTAAATCCCAAGGACTGTGGCCGTAGATAAGGACCATCTGTATCGACCAGAAATTGTGGTGTAGTAAAATTCAAGGCCACGATGGTGAGAAACACACTCTTTCGTTACATATGATTTATATCGAGCCAGAAGGTCAGTAGAAGTAACTCCTTTCTAATACATAAAATTGAAGTGGGCAGCGAGTGCAGTACCCTCAACGAGGACGGCTGTGGAACGAGTGGTTAGCCCTCCATTCTCGAATAAAAACAAGCAAAACACTTACGTCGACCAAATCGCTTCGGGAGCTCCATGACAAGCATATCCTCATCACCTTTGTTATCCGGCCAGGTGTTAAAATAACTGTCCACAATGTCATCCCCCAGGACTACAAGGACATTAATCCGAATCCGCTCCCCATGCATGTTCCACGGCGGCTAAAATCGGTACAAAATCATCTAGTTGCCCTCCAGGTTCTCAAGAAGTGGTCAGGTGGTCCGCCACTAATAACTCTCGTAAGTTGGACCCCACATCTCGTAGGTCACGTGCGATACTGGTGTACGGTTCAGTGCCCTGTCGTCCAGGACACGCAGCCACCAATGCCCTTGTGCCGGGGAATCATTTCGCAAGGGCCACTCGTAGTCTTCCGGGCCAACTCAGTAAGGGTAGTCAGAGGAGCCCCACGAAGGATTCACAGATACATCGAATCGTCTCTTCCAAGATGTATCCTGTATTTCGGGAAATTATGGGAGTGGTGCACCTATATGGTAGTGAAGAAAGCTCAGTGGCGGGTTATTGATGATATTTGCTGAAACAGCAAAGCTATCGGAGCGACTTAGTTTGGTGGTGACTATTCGTGGGATGGCTTCGTCTGCAAGCCAGATCTGATCCCAAGATTCGTCAGTAAGAACGTCTCCTATCCAATAGAACCGTAAAGACCATATGGCAAACAATCTTCCACATGAATCTCCTCTCCATCTGCACCTACTTACCACATTGTCATCAATCTTTACATACATGATACCTTGCTTGATAGGCTTCCATATTATTGTTTATTCTGGTCATCCAACCACTTTTCCTAAGTTAAGTTGTCTCATAACGTGGAGAACGGAGAAGTATTTCGTCCAATATACAAGATCGTCCTCGTTGTCAGTGTTAACGATCCAGACAACATTTTCTAGCCATCCACCATTATCTACCAAATTTTTCCGTACGCCCAATAGCTAGCATCAAACAACACTCGTGGGACGGAATGGAGGGGGCTCACTTCAACATAACAACTCATAGACTCGACATGATCACGGCGGCCATAGAAAACAATCCCACTGATTATTAAATTTTCAGGCTTTGCAAGCTTTGAAACTGGTTGTAATATATCCGGAGACTGTTTCATCAGCCATGGAGCATGCGGAATTGGGAACCAAATGGATTTTGCATACGCGATCAGCATAAAGGCGATAACGAACGACAACAAGAGGGAAATCAGGAGACACTGTCACAGTCTCGGAAAGGACGAGCTCGGGAAAATTGGATTGAAGATGAGAATCCAACAAACGCTGGCAAAATTGATATCGTGAAACCAGCATCTGTTCCAGTACAAATTAATCAAAGAAAAAAATAAAAAAGTCTCGATGAGCACCTATACGTGACTCTCTGCGCGGCCGCTCATACATCCTTGCCAGTTTCCTCGCCAGTTTCCTTGCGACTTGGCGCGCGAACGACCACTGGACAGTCCACATCCGCTCCCTCTGCGTAAAACCGATCCAGCCCACAAGTCCCATTGGTCCACCGGCTGCAGGTGGGTGATGTGTTGTCCCGCGCACGGTCTGTGTTACTGTGAGATGCCACGCACCTGCTCACCACTCAGCGGTTGGCGTGGCATCTACGGGCGATGGAGCCACACGGAGATAGAGTGCGGTGCTGGGAAGGGAGATCCTTGCTTCTACGCACTTTTTACCGGGGGGAGGGGGACGCCCTATCTGTATATACAAATGGGACAACAGGGACAACGGGGTTAACAGGTGTTATGAATATGGGATCGGCCCGAAGGATTACCCGAACGATCGGCGAAGTCCTCGCTTATAAATGTCTTCCCACAGACGAAATTCCTGTATACTAACTAAGTTTGCTCATCCAATTCAATGGCTTAGTTCACTCTATTCAATGCCAATTCCTCTGACCTACTGTAGATTCACAACAACAGGGATAACAGGGACAATATGGTTAATGGGGTCACGTAGCGTCCGTCACAAGAATGTGCAACTTCAGTACCTAGCTCCGCGTGCTCAGCGGCGGCCGCACGCCACCTCTGCAACTCATATTGCTCGTCTTTGCCGTCACCGCAATCCGGCGTACATGATTGGCCCGCTTATTGCAGTCACATGACCCGTCGAAGTATGAGAACCCACGCTTCTTCCGTTTTCCCCATTTACTTACTTTCTTCCCAGCGATTCCTCTTCGTGTATACTGTATCTAGTCGTTAGATAGCAAGGCATCTCGCCCCTTTACATGGATTTATAGTAAGCTTGCTGGCTGATATACTGCATTCCCTTAACTATGATCTCGCGGGATACGTGCTCTCAATATAAAGATAATTATATCACGTTATTCTGCTCTCTCATAATACTGAGATGCTGCGCTGGATTAGTTCATTGCCCTAGATGCTCTGTGACTACCCATTGGTGGGGATTGGATATAATAGAATTGCCAAAGAATAACTGTAATATCAGGATTTTTTGCACAGGTCTGGCTTCTACACCCCGACTCATCTCTTCCCGTGTCTTCGATACAGTCCTTTTCACCCTGCCTCATAGATAGTTATCCAGGCTGAAGATACACTGGTTAAGGTTATTATAGCGGTGTTTAGCGCCCTCCAAACTACAAGGGAAACGACTGGTAAACAGTTTCTGTGTAAATAGGTAGTTGTTAGACCTCTAATTATCTTGTTACGGAAACACTGTAATCCCGCCCTACTTGGCGGTGCGGAAATATCTAACGATCCATTCTACCCCTCAATCCTTTAGTTAGAAGAACACCTCAATGAGAATATAGGGAACCGCTTAGTAGGCCCAGTTGGTTGAGATACTGCGACTCCTGGTGTTTCCACTGAATGACATCTACTTCCTAATTAGGCTAGTTGGCCTGTAGCTGATAGAATAGCTCCCTGCGTATCACTTCCCCTGAATTCCACAACATATCTAAATGGTTCTTCAGCTTATTACCTTTGTCGAGATGGTAATATCTATACATTCCGTGTCCAATGAAGTTCTCGGCGCTCACCGTCATAGTTGTTAATTTGCTATAGCCTGCCATGGTCGACCTCGAAATGAGAATTTTATAACAAAGAATATTTTGACTTTTCCGCTTCTTCCTTTTTAGTGAACCCGGGGGTGGGGCTATTGAACTTCTAGTATGGGCTACGCTATTAGTCTAACTAGCCCTTAAAGGAAATTAAGTGGAACTTTGGCGCAGCTCACCTACGGAGTACACAGTACACACGATATGCTTAGTTAGGCATTAGTACGCCCCTGACCCTGACTGTGGGGACTGTAGTAGCATCTTCCTCTGAGAGCTTGGACGGAAAAGGAGTCGGGATCACCAGCCGCGGCCTGCCTCCTCCCCATCGGAGCCCCTGATATAGTTGCTAATAAGAGATATTTTAATATGAAGTACAGCGGACAATTTCCGGGGACAAAATAATAGATCCGCCATCCAACACATACAGTACAGTGTTTATTGCATTGCTGCGGTATTTTAATCCCCCCAACACCTTGGCTGGCGGGTGGGGTTTGCTCGCAAAGAATGGATCAAAGAAAAAGAAAAAGAAAAGGAAAGAGAAAAAAAAAAAATACGTTAAGCCCACAAACTGCACTATAGCCAGCTACGTGGCCGAAGAGTCAGTGAGGCAGGAGTGACTACCGAATGTAGTAAGGAGTGATGAGCTAAGCATTGTGGCCTTTTTAATGTCCAAAGTTCATTCAAACACATAGGGCGTACCTGAACGGGCCATAGTATTTTTGAGGGCCGAGGGCCATTTGTTGTGTGTAAATTCCTGAATGATTTATTAATCGGCCATTTAAGAAGGGTTCGGTAGTGGCCGAGATAGGTTAGAGTGTCGGGTGGGGAAAGAGACACATAATTATCTAGCTTGCCCGAGATGGGCATTTGAAGTGCTTAATAGTATGGTGAAGTGACGGGGCTATTGGGTGAGGGAATTATAAACAGCGCGCTGGGCACCCTTCACATTGAAGGATGATAGGGAAATTGTTTGAAGGATAATTTTTATAAGCAGCTCGTTTAAAGTTGAAGCATCAAGAGTGGAAAAATATGGGGTATATACACCTACGAGAAACATGGAGATAGAAGACGGCTTGAGGGAGTGATTAAAGGGGCTAAGGAAAGTGGAAAGGGAGGCGCTGATGAGGGGTTTTAGGGGATATGTGGCGGAAGTGGTTGATTGTATAAAGGGGTGTACTATCTGGCATGGTTATATATGTTGGATGGGGAGTAGTTTAGGAGGTAGAGGAAAAGTGGGATATATAAGGGTGTTAGATAAAGATACGGATGGAATCATTGAGAGAGATCAAGATGTTGGAGATTATAGTCAGTACTGATAGGGCATTGGATGAGATAGGGAAGTGGGGGAATAGGGATAAGTGGCGTGGACGGCATAAAGTGTATAATTTGGTATTGAGAGAATAGGGAAGTAGTCTATGGAGGGAAGTGCTGGTAGTGGGGGATGGAGAGAAATAAAGGGTAATCAAGGATGTATTGTGAGTATGACTCTAGGACGATGGTGTCCGTACACAACCGCCTAGTTATAACAAGTCACAATAAATAAATATAGAATAAACTGCTCCACTTTGCAGTGGAGCAGGGTCTCTAACTGTCTATCACGTAACTAAATTAACTGGTAACGTAATCGGTAAGCGAGCGCCGCATTGAAGGCGAGCGCCGCACTTCTGTACTCCATATAAAATGGTACTCTTTGAAACCTTAATATCTCAACCACAAGTAGATATAGAAACATCTTGATAAGATAGTAACATATATATGAACTCTAAAAGGGTGTTTTTATATTTTCATGTTTTTAGGTAGTTTTCTTGGCTTTAAATACTAGGACAACTGAAAGTATAAAAAATACAGCTGTAATTTATCTTACCTGGAGAAATATTCATTCTGAAATTTCTCTGCTTAATATATATATACACAGTATTATATTATACTGTATATTTAATTTTATGTCCCCTAGGTGCTTTATTGTTGAGATATTAGACTCTCAAAAAGTGTCATTTTATATGGAATACAGAGGTGCGGCGCTCGCTTACCGATTACGTTAGTAAACTAGTTAACGTAACCGGAAAGCGAGTCGGACACGCAACCGAGTCGGACACCTTTGTATTGCATATAAATCGACACTTTTTAGGACCTCAATATCTCAACCCATATTATAGTTATGCTGCTAATAATGAAATACTGCCTAATATATATGTGCTGTAAAAGCTTATATATTTTATTTAGAATTTTTAATATTTTTTCTAGCATGCAATACAGTATAATTTTAAATACAACTGTATTTCAAGCTCATCCTTTGTAATATAAGGAAATAGAAACTCTATGGTGCCCTAGGCTTAGTATCTGCATATATACTATTATATCATTTTATATTATAAATATTAGGCCCTCCTGATATGTTGTTGTTGAGTTATTGATGTCCTAAAAAGTGTTGATTTATATGCAATACAAAGGTGTCCGACTCGGTTGCGTGTCCGACTCGCTTTCCGGTTACGTTACAGTAAATGGATTATTAACTAAGCCATGAAAGCTTACAGATCCAGCTGTGCTGGATGCAAAGCAGTTTGAACCTCGGGCCAGTGCAGCAGGGGAGTTGGCGCAATGGAACTGGCTGTCCATCGTGCACACCAGTACTAACAGCAGCGCACAGATTACATATGGTTAAACATCTACCTCGAAATGGCTTGTCTTATCGACAGCACTACTTGTGGGTGTGCAAGGGATGGATGGCTCTAAGTGGAGACTGTCAAATATCTAAAATTGATTCATTTTATGGGGATGTGAGCGAAGTCATGGGCTCAAAATATGGAGACCTCTCGTATGCACCAGGAGGGAGATCGAGCGAAACGTTACGAGATGGTCAACTAGTTAATAAGCTAGAATTAATTGACAGTTATACACTCCGGTCTACGCTTCGTGGCAGGTACAGGGCGGTTTGGCAACGGAACAGAAAGGCAAAAAAAAAAAAAAGAAAGAAAGAAAGAAAGAAAGAAAGAAAGAAATGAATGTACATATCTAGCTTAACTACACCGTAAATATTTACTAAGGGGGTACATGCGGCATTTGGCCGCGAAACGCCGAGGAATAGTGCTACCACTCCATTCTTAACATACTGTATTTCAATATATACACTACTAGTGTTAGTTGATAGAGAAACATCGGAATTCAGGACTCGATGACTCCTAGCGCCTTGGCGAGCGCTCAGCGCCCTGAATCGCTTCCATTCCTTTAGAAAGTAGAAGAAGAAGATAGACAGAGCACGCAGGTGAGCGTTGGTTGCGTTGTCAGTACATTTATTATTGTTATTCTCCCTTGTAGGCTACCGGCGTGTAGCTAGTATAGTGTTCTTCTGCCCCCATTCCTTCCCCAGAGCGAATGATCATAACCGTAGTAATATTGCCAAGCTACAATGGCAAATGGAGACATGCCGAACGGTTTTAAACAAATACAACTGTGCAGCAACAGCAGGATCGCTGGAAAGAAAAGGTCACTAAGCACCTCACATATCAACAGCGAATTGGCATCCTTTGGACATAGCATATTACTGTGTCATTCAAGGGTATTGAAGAAAGCTAAGGAGTGGTGTGTGGGTGTTGAGGGGGCGGGGGGCCTTCGGCTTTGCTATACATAACTGGAAATCGGGGCTATAGAGTATTATATTCATAGCCGGTAAATAATCTTGGGTTGCTTTCTGTATTATTTTGGATCGCAAATCACGAGGACGTGTGGAACGATTTTAATAATATATACTTCACTCAGCGCGAGTATTGCCTTGAGGTTGGTTGACATATATTCCTCTTAAGTCGGATTTGCCGACCGTCTTAGGAAATAGAAGTGAGCGATTGATGGCTGGTCTTAATGTGCAGTCATGATTGGCCTGGAATGTACATACGGTTGGGGAAGAGCTTCTGGGTTACCTTCCTGGGTACCTTTCCTACGTATAAATTGACCATAGCAACCCCGATATTCCGTCAATGTGTAGAAGAAATTAATTTTTCACACTACATGTTACTACCGTCGTATATAATGTGATATGATTGATTGGCTACCAACTTAGGTCTTCTAGAGAGCAAGGACAAGCCACTCTATTTAAACTACATTTTGAAATTTAAGGCGCCTTTTGGTTGACCATGGAGCTTCCGAATCTAGAGCTGTGAGTCTTCCGTCCATATCGTACGGTATGACCGAAACAAGGATTGACTTGAACCAGATCCCAATCCCCGGACCTAGAGATGTCTCCAAAAGCTACTGTAAGGATACCCATAGTCTGTTGATAAGTCATCTAATTGGCGGATACCCCAATCTAGGCGTTGGATAGACGGAGAAAAGCAAACATGCTGTCCCAGCGTAAACACCGTGCAAAGCAAAAGGAGGCCCTGGGGGATCTGAAAGACATGATCTGGTCTCTTGCTGCAGATATTCGGGACATGAAGCAGGAAGGTGATTCTAGAATCAAGGACCTTCATAAGACGCTGAATCAACTCCAAGACACAATCCAGGAGACCCAGCAGATGACCACTACGTTGGTCAACACGGTCACCCAGCTTCAGGTTACCCTCGAGAAAGTACACCAGGACATTGCCTCTGACAAAAGAGGCACAGAGGATGTATGGTTGGGGAAAGGAAAAGCCGAGATTTCAATGGCTCGTGACACACCTAGACGAGCGCATCCGCCGCATCCGCCGCATCCGCCCGCACTCAGTGTGATGCCTCCGTACCAGAACTTTCGTTTCAACTCTTATGGTATGCTGCCAGCTACATACAATCGTAGTAACTATCTGTTGTTTATATGGTAATAATGTCGATGCTGACAGGTTCGGCGAATATAGATCCTACACTATTCACACCTATATCAACGCCAATGTCCGCGCAGAATCATGACCCGTCGAATCTTGGGGCACCTATGACTTTTTTGCCAAATACAAAAGCTGTGGTCAAGGTTGACCATCCGGAAGGGAAAGCGCATTAAGGGTCTGCTATATTTTCCTTTCTGTACCTCTCTTTTTTTTGGGATCCTTTCATGTGAGATAGAAGTGGTGTTTTCCGGCTATATAATCCCCCTATATTGGAGGTCGTATTTTCGCCCGTTTAAGATTGATACTATGGACACAGATAGGAGCCAATAAAAGCAGCAAATACTAGGGCCTTCCAGTGCCCCCCACCGCCTTCATCCTGAAGACGGTGATTACATCGCTTATTCCAGTCAAACCTGTTCCTGTCGGACCTTGCTGCATATGAATAAAGGGTGTATCTGTTGAATTCTGAAGGGGGTGGGGGCGCTGGAAAGCACTAACATTGAATTAGGTCTCTGATTCAACTAAACTACCAAAACATCTCGCATTTATAAAGGCGAGGTAAACAAATGAAGAATGCAAACTAACTAATATAGGAAATATACGCGATCCGATGATGTTGGATCATCAACAACATTTGACTGAGAAAGGTGCTGAATAATCAATATTACCATAATTGTCGACACATTATAACTAACTAGTTAACTATTCGCATCTTCTGTCTTCTGACCTGAACTCTCGAAGGTCAGCGATTAGCTCCGCAATATACATGATCCTATCTTCCCTCCCATATAGACACACCCCTTCGTACCATAGCGCACCATTCAGTTACCGACCCCACGCATAACAGAGCTATAGATCAGCCACAGGCCGATCCTTACCTTAAATAGGAAGTAAATGTTATCTATGGAAAGACCAGGATAACAGTATCTATCTAGTGTCTTCAGTGCTCAACCTCAATGTGCTCAACTAAACTAAAGCATTCAGGGGTAGAATGGATTTTCAGATACTTCGCACCGCCTAGTAGGGCGGGTCATATTGTTTTCGTAACAAAAGTATTCAACATTCAAGATCATGGGCGATGGCGTCTTTGTTCTCTATCGAGGCTTTAACGGTGATGTCCTCCTACAATTCAACGTCTTTACAGGAGATCCAACATAATTTTCCGATCAGCCCGTACGTCGCAACGGTGAGATACGCTCTACTATGTGTATTTCTGTTACGGAAACACTATAATCCGCCCGACTTGGCGGTGTGGAGTATCTGACGACCGATTCAACCCCTGAATCCTTTAGATAGTTGAGTACCTAGGTAGGAATGTAAGAGATTCAATTGGTTGAGATATTGTGATTCCTGGTGTTTCCACCGAAGGACATCTACTTCCTAGTTAGGCTAGTTAGCCTGTAACTGATAGAATAGCTCCCTGCGCATCACTTCCCCTGAATTCCACAACAGTTTCTACCTGTCCAATGGTTGCTTGCAGCTGCCTGCGCGAAAATATGAGACTTTCACAGGCTACCTTCTTGATCTTACTCAAAATCGACCACCCTCCTGGTAGGAGGCAAAGATATCAAGTCTTTGACTCAGAGCCAAAATCTGTATACCGACAGACCGGGGGCTGTGATCGACAACTTAGACGAGATCACAGGCCTGAAAGATCGAGTTAGAAATTACCAGCTCGAAAGACTGTTCGCATAAAGCTAGCGTGCGTCTCTTTTTGGACTGCCCTATCTTAACGAAAGGCTGCGCGGTCTCGTAGTCAGCGATAGTTGGACAGGGCCGTCATCCATGGATTATGGTAGCACCTCTGAACCACTTGATACATTTAACGATTTCCAAAGAGTGATGAATAGCGCTAAGAAATTTTCGTAGAACAGGTCATACCACTCGGCGTTTTGTAGAATTATCCTAGCATATGCAAATTTAAAACACCGAAGACAGTTTACCGATGCATCCTTGATCATGAAGATGTTATAACCTATTTGTTGTCAAATAATATGGCCGTTGGTGGATGTTGGAACATCGGGTTATCCCTCTGCTCCGGGTGCCGGTCTGCACTGTCTTAGTCAGCATCTGTTATGTAAATTTATTTAGCCTAGTTCGTAGGTGCGTCCGTACCCCCTGAATCCCAGACTCCTTCATGCTTCCAACAGTGGACCAGAATCATATGACTATATTGGGGTAAAAGTCCCGCGGAGCACACGACGAAATAATCATCAAGAATAACCAAGAAGAATAATCAAGATGAGCACAACCAGCTCAATTCGTTCGAATAAGACCTTTTTGCCAATCGTACTCTATTTCCTCTTCGGGACTAGCCGAATATCTGACATATGTTTTTGTCTAGGAGTGTTGGTGAACAAATTTCTTCTTGTTGCGGAAACACTATAATCCGCCCGACTTGGGGGTGCGCACTGCGGAATATCTGACGATCAATTCAACCCCTGAATCCTTTAGTTAGTTGAGCACCTAAGATTTAGAGTGGAATACCTCAATGAGAATATATGGAACCACTTAGAAGGCTCAGTTGGTTAAGATTCAGCGATTCCTGGTGTTTCCACTGAATGACATATACTTCCTCCTTAGGCTAATGGTTGGCCTGCAGCTGATCTATAGCTCCCTTCGCATCACTTCCCCTGAGTTCCACAACACTTCATTCCGACAAGGGTTATTAAAATTCCATTCCCCATTAAACAACACACTCGGGAAGGCCCAGAGCCCGAAGAACCGCTAGCGACCTTTGAGTGGGCGCAAATGTCATCAGTCGCCGACCGGCTATTGACAAAAAAGACAAATGATTGCCGAAAGAGAGTCTACAGTTGACCCTCTGTACAGACTTCGTAATTATGATAACCTTTCTGAGCCCAGGTGGATGGAAAAGGTGTATGTTCGTGGCTTTGCAAGCACGCTCTATGTAGCGCAGTGTTCGCCAAATACGTGTAAACCAAATATTTGAACTTTACCTGCATCTCAGTGGACGGCGATTAAAACCAGCCGTTAAACTTGACATATTTAAATCTTGCTGCTTTTTGGTCTCTACTGCACAGGTGCGGGCGAATCCGGGGTCACATGGGGGGACCTGTTCTACAGAGGTCCTATATACAGGCGTAGCCTGCGACAATCCAGAAAATAGAAGACATTCTTAAAAGCGGTCTTGAGCGAGTGGGTGCCTCTAGAGGCCAAAGTACTAGTCCTATCATTTTCACTATTATTAGAGAAAAAACTCGGCGGAGGCGACTAAACTCTGGCTTCGAATTTTTATTAATAATAGGTTTTAGAGGGAACTACTGATAGGTTAAGTATTATCAGCCTGTCTTCCCCTTGCCCAGGCGAAAGTCATACGCACCATACAGTACTAATTTAGATGCTCACAACTTGCAAAGTCACAGCACTGACAGAATTCCTGCCACCTTAGCTGCTCATTGTTGCGTCACTGTTGAATGAAATAAGCTCGACTGGGAATAGGTGACAAACATTCCTAACTATCTCATGTTTTTACACGTTATGTTGTGTGGGCAACTGATACTTATATTTATGTAGACAGCCTTAATGTGAATTGGTTATTTTCGCTACACGTTTATTATAAATTTTAAGTACTGTACACTAAAAATAAAGCAAACACGGAGCAAGGCATTAGAAAAGCACACTAGAACGGCTCAAAAAGTATTGGCCGAGGTAAGTCAAAGAAATCCAAAGAAAAAGTATAGTCAAATATCCACGTAGCTATTCCATCACTGGCGTTGAGAGTAGGTATACCGCTCAGTCCAATATTGTAGTATGCGACCCCAGGCCCGCTGTAGGGACGTTGTGAGCTATTAAGGAATATGCCCCCGATCGATGACTTATACGCATGAGATGACGGACGTTCCTGTAGGACTCTCGCTACTACACGCTTTGTACGTTAACTATTAGCCTTGGCGAGTAACATAACAAGCAGGAGCTGCATTTACATGATGATTAAGCCATACATATAGCTAGCGTAAAACAAGAGATGATCTAAAACAGACTCTGCTTCAGACACTTGATTCGTGATGTCTGGGAGATCTATGGGCCATATACTGGTATAGACGTGTAGACAGCAATTTCCTGTTGACCCCTTATCGTAGTAGAGGAAGATTGTCTAGCTAACCCAACAGTTACAGTATATATTTCTTCATAATATGACTCCAATGAGAGAGCCATATTAATGAGAACTATATTAAAAAGTCGAGGTGCCCAGCTTCCAGACTCCGATATCCTTATAGCAGCAGGACACCAATATCATCATGTCATTTGTTGTTTTTATGCCTTCCTTCTCTATTACAATTCAGATGCAATAAAGATCGGGCTTCAATTAATCTATTTCTATACGGGATTTCTGCATATAAAGCTCTGTAGTTTGAAAAGATCGAGTCGCGGATCACAGCATATATACACATTAGAGCATGTGTTCATACAAAGAGTTGCCTGCAAGAGTGGGTGGCTTCTTTGACCCCGAAAACTCCTAGAGGGAATTGTTATTACGTGTATGGCGTGTGTTACCTTGTAGGGCAATGATTGTCTCTGGTTTTCAGGGTCAAACGGGTCACCCGCTTTTCAGATCCTTTCCCTTCCCATTTCCACAACCACTTTGCACCGTTGTCTGAATAGTACCTAAATTTGCAGTGTATCATACTAAGCATTAAAATATAAACTATGTATGTATTCTGTATGCCCCGTTTTGGTCAATGTATGCCTATAAAAGTATAACAATAGAGGATGGTTTCCCCCTGAATACCAGGATGTCCAGTAAGTGAGCTTTCTAGCAGTTATTAACTACACAGTTTTATCCTGTAATCTACCTTAGCAAGAAATCATCGACCTACATAAGAGTACTGTATACATACAGGCATTCCGCTAGTGAAAAGTAGTATTGCTAATAGGGTAGCATCGCGTCGGCGCGACAATAACGTGAAGAGGCCTCGGTTAGGGACGCCAACTGTCGCAGGCTACGCCTGTATATTGCTTGGCTTCGCCTTCGCCGCAATTGGCGCACATGATTGGCCCGCTTATTGCATGACCCCTCGTGGTACAAGAACGCACGCTTCTTCCCTCTCTTCCCCTTTTACTTTCTTCCTCCCAGCGATTCCTCTTTGTGTATATCTGGTCGTTGGATGGCAAGGCATCTCGCCCCTTTAAACCAACTATGTCTCCTGAGTATGGGAATTCTTTATTAAGAGAAAGATTATACTGTACCCATGGATTCTGTCAGCTTTGAAAATAAAAAGAAAATTTTATCCTTTCTACAGTATTGCAACCCATAGCTGTGAATCTATTTGGCCATGACGACACTAGTCAAGATTTCTGAGGGGAGCTCACTACAGTAGAGACAGAGTGCCCTGTACAGTAATAACGCAATACAAATTAAGAGTTTGGCAAAAAAATTAGGGAGCACCAGCTATTTCGTTCTTACTCTTAACATGGCCCACCACTTTCGAACAGAGTACTTTCGTACAATACAGTAAGAAAAAGTAGACCATTTATTTCTATAAGCTTAATCAAAGCACATTACTTCTAAGAATCGATTCAGATTCGATCCTAATTGAACTATTTCCAGGGAGCGATTTCCCAAATTTAAGCTTCCAAGTGATCTCTATATTATTGTCAAGGTGCTACATCCAAGATCCCCACTCAGGCACGGAACATAGTTGTTCCGGAGCCGGGGGTCAACATGACTCCTGAAGGTAGACTAGCGTACAATACACAATCCATCACCTCAACAATTATATATATATATCTAGTATGTATATTTCTATTTCTGAAATCCGTGCCTTGTAAAAGGGCCAAAAAAGGGGGAATGCGAAGGATACATACTGTATAAACCTTGCACCAGTCCTACGTTTACTCGTCCTCCCACCACTGCTATTCTCACCCCCTTGTATTCCCTAAACTCTTCGAATACGTTATCTATTTGGACTTTGCCCAGTTCCCGGAAGATGAAGAATTTCTTTACATATCTGGCCAGCTGTGTGAACATGGAACTCTAGTAATTATGAGTTACCGGACTTTGTGGGTCATGGCATGATCTAGCATCTGATGGTGATATTGCTATATTGATGTACGGTCTGAAAACCTGGATATTACCGTTATGGAGTTGGTTCAGCAGCTAAATAATGGCCAGCGACGTCACTTTGAACAAGTTGTTGCGGCTGTAGAAAGTGGTAATGCAGCCAGATTTTTGTTTAATGTCCTAGAGGGACTGAGAAGACCTTCCTATAGGTTATAGGGTGCTTTACTAAATAGTTAACTGGTTGTCAAATAATAAGGCCGTGGGCGGACCGGATTCATGCGACTAACCCCCCCCAAAAAAAAAAACGGAGAACACAACAAAAATAATGATCAGGAAGAGCTCAACCAACTCAATTCATTCAAATAAGACCTTTTTACCAATCGTACTCTATTTCCTCTTCGGGACTGGCCGTATCTGACAACAACTAGTTAACTTACTAAGAACTACATAATAATGACTAAGCAAGGTCGAATGGCGCAGGGGCGATATGCTCCAACAACCAACCTAGTGCGAGTATCTTTATTGGTGGCCTCAGTCGTGCCCTCTGTTGTACCAGCTAATGGGCATAGATACGGGATGTGAGCTAGCTGATGCTCTCTTGGATGACGCATAGTCATTATAGCTATCAGTTTAAAGCTGTGAGAATATGTACTTATATCTCCTGGGTTATATCCAAGCTGCGGATATACTGTACGGATAATACTCCATTCCTGCATGGCGGCGGGAGCAATCTGGAATCTGCTGCCAATATCCAACCCTCCCCATCGGATTGTGTATATGTATTCTGTTGTCCTCCTATCGTACATTTTCACCTGCACGTTATAGACCCAAGACATGAGCGCGTCCTAAGTTTCCCATCTACAAAATCTCGACAAGGTGTCAATGCATCCCGTTGTCTCACTAACTTGGCTTCGGGATAGGTATATCAAGACCATGTGGCTCTCTTTCCAACCCGCTCATATGTGTTGACTATCTTAAAGGAATATCTATAAACTCTACTCACGGCCTAGTCTAGTGCCACATCAGCTGACTGCTTTCTTATTTAGGGGCGAGTTGTCCAATTGTCCGACTAGACTTAGGTCCTAGTTTTGGTCGTAGTGAAATTTGACCAGCCAACCTGCGAGAGTATCCGAAATGCCTAGGGCACCAAAGTTCTCTTTTGGTTGTCGATGATGCTGCCGGTGGCTCATGATGCCCGCCAAATCCCCTGAATGTGAGTACATTGCTGCCAGTAGCCCAGCAGATCCCACAATAACCATCGTCAAAACGTGTGCATCCAAAGTTCTGACTACAATCATGACAGGTAGCGCCTGGGTCAGGAAGTAGTCGAGGGGGTGCGCATAAACCACTGCAAATGGGGATGGTTTGTGGAAGGCGTGGTGGTTGAAGTGAATCAGGGCATACAATGGTCGAGTGTGCATCAGACGATGTAGTACGTAGAAAATGATGTCGAACAAAAGCACGGCGGCGGTAATATGCGTCGCGACTTCAAAAATGGGTGGCCAGTCGGTTGATACTCGGCTCAGCGTTTTCCGGGGAAACGGTGCGTCTCTGGGTCGCCCGATGAGCACGGTTAACCAGACCCCTCCAATCACCCCTACTGCGATGTGAACAATAGCTAACTGGAGGGAGCTCCGAGTCTTTTCTCCTCGGTTAATAGTTATATAGACAGCGTAGCCAATATAAACGGCCAGCTGAGTGGCTGCAATGATGCACGTCTCGATCACAAGAGGTGGAAGCTGCTTGGCTGCCATGACGAAGCAGCAGTATTCCCGCCACAAAGGCCAACGGTAGAGCAATGGAGAAAAGAAACGGCAAGAGGGACGTGGAATGTGTTATGTTGCAAGAAGCGCGAACATCTTACATTTATCTCAATTAAATTATGTCTAACTTACCATTTAGGTCTGTTTTTAGCCTGTGCGCTCACATAACATTTTGAAAAGAGTTTTATAAAGGGGTCACTCGTCCATATACGAATCTTTATATGCATGTCATAATTTGTGGGGTGCGCGTGATAAATCCCCTCTCACACCACGACAAGCAATAATAACTACCAGAGCCTTGGAGTAAATTCCCGGGAATGGAGCCAAAAATTGATCTGATTATTAACCTTTTTCCTGGATGAGGCGCAGGAAAGACCCGACTCAGTGGATGAGCTTTACGAGACGAGTGACTATGTCAAGTATTGTCGGCAGTTTTCAGAAACTCTTATGTCGGGCCTCTTACTGATGTCTAGCGCGTCCAAGAATCGTGGGGCAGGCATAATGAGCCGGATCACAGTTTCCAAGGCCTCCTGTATGTTGTAGGGGGAAGCGGTCACCAAAGTTTCTGGTAACACCGATTTAAACGGACTACAGTACTTCGCATGTATGCAAACTCGGTTTTATAATAAAGCTCCTCAAGTTTTGTAGTGATGGGATATATAATAGATATCTTCGGAATGTGTTGCATACTCATACAGTTACGCTGACCGTTGGGAAGGGATTTCCCATGGGAAATCGAAATGTGATTCCGTTCCCTTAAAATCGGGACGATTTTTTTTAAAAATTTTATATAATCTAGTTACTGTATGCTGGCCACGATATACTCGCGTATTTAGCAAAGTGCACGTTCAACACATAATCTTCGGATTTGGCGCAATTTCAAGATACATACGTGTGGACTCCTGGCTTATCCATTCGATTTCTCTGCAATAATCAGCCTGGGACATCTGGGAATCTGTGCAAAGAGCCTCCCTCAGTCTACTCTAGAATCTATATATTGCTACAACTATCGAAAAGAGATGGCCATTAACCGAGGAGAAGGCTTGCTGAGGTGGCCGAATTCAAAGTCATTGAGCACACTGAGGATCTCTCTGAGACCCAAATGCTCTTTAAAGGGACTTCGATGCCTCCCTTTTTCTTTCAAAGAAATATACTGTACCCAACTTGACTTCTACTGTACCTGGTTGATAACCTTCATCATGACCGGAAAACCTCGATTGGAAAAGCCCCGTCGATCAGAGAGCGCCCAGGCCAAAACGCAATAAAGAAGTAGGCTTAAGAAGAGCGTCTTTAAAAAGACAGCTCAATACAGTCTAGAGTGCAAATCCGATGTATTTGTAATAATGAGAACTAGGAAAAATGCCAGCGTTTTATTTTTGATTCGTCTGTGTCAGAACACTGTCTACCTTCGATGCCGGAGCTACTGAGTAGGCATATGCATCCTAAGTTCATTGCAGTTTTAACGGAGTTAGAATGCATATGTACAGTACTACACGACACCAATAAATGAGAGTCTGGAAGTCATTATCTCTGACTATGACGATCGTATGCCATCGGATCAAAAACACTACAATTTAAATACATAGGAGCTCCACTGAGAAAGATCGAGTGTAAGGCAGTTGCTTGGTGCTAACTGTTTTCTGTATTCACATGATGACTAGCTGTTTTCGATACGACTCGGCGGAATGAGTTCATTGCCGCAAATGGAAAGTAGTATGTTCAGTGAATGTATATTAAGTATTTACTTCAGCGAACTCTGGTTGAGTACTAGAGTTTCCATCTCCATTCACATGAATGCTTAGTTCAGGATTGCCAGAAGCCCTTATGCGCCGGGAATGCCAGGGGAAGCTAAAAAGGCATTCAATTTCTTATCCCTAGCCTTTCTTGAGAGAGTAACTTATTGTTGTTTTATTTTTATTTTCGTCCCCCCCTTTTTTTTTTTTTTTTTTTAAATTCTTTTTCCTGATACTGTAACTACAGACACACTGTTTAACAGCTTTTTTTTTTTTTTTGTTCCCCGTCCTTTTTTTTTTTTTTTTTTTTTTTATTTCCCCTGATCTTATTCAACATTTTTTTTTTTTTTATTCCCCCTGTGCTTTTTATTTTGTTTTTGTCCCCCCGATCTACTCTGTACACGGACATTGTTCAACACCCTTTTTTTTTTTTTTTTTTTTTTTTTGGCTAATCCCGCCTCTCCTTTTACAGCATTTTTTTTTTTAATTTCCCTCCTGTCAAGGGCTGAACCCATAGAACCTATACGATAGGTTATGTACAAAGAGGAATCATTGAAGAAGGGAAAAGGAAAAGGAAAATGAGCGGTAAACAAACAAGGGGAGTAGTCACGTGACGTGGATCGAGGGCCAATTGGCCAAAGGTGCCAACAGGGCCAACAGGGACAGTAGGGACAGTAGGGACAATAGGGACAGTAGGGACGATAGGGACATTGGCCCGAGATCTTAACACTGTTCAACACTTTTTTTTTTTTATTTTCATCCATCTTTTTTTACTTTTTTTTCTCTTCCTAATTATTGAAGCTTTATTCATCCCGGATGACTAATACGTATAGTGCCTGACGAATATGGCGACGACACGTAGGCACTCCGAAGTCATGATCCCAGATCATACGATGTGGAATCGTATGATATGGGATCCCACGGCAGTGCACTGGAAGACCTCGGTAGACACTAGGTTAAACGGTCTGCTACTTAAGTAGCAGACCAGATAGGGGAACACTTTAAGGATAGCTTAGGCAATACATTCCTTCAGAAGACTCAATAGACTTCCCTCGGTTCACCCCAGGGCCGCCATCACGGCGGCCCCTGGGGGCCCCCGTCCCCTATTCGACTGTCCCTACAGCTCATAGTGTTCTACTACCTCGTCCAGTCCCTTACCTAACCGGCCGTGTGATGAGCGATATTGCATTATTCATAGCTTCCAACACCTTACGCTTTTTATTCTGACATACTATGTGTACCATCCTACTAGCTCTTGGCTTAGAGCTGGGTGCGGGGTGAAAATACGTACCGTCGATTGATTTTGATCGAATTCTTTCTCTAACAATCCAACACAATCGTCCTGGTCGCAGCCGGTCATTATGGAAGCTCAACTGGCAGTCTTTCACCGAGACATTCCCGAAGCCTTATCGAACGAATGCTAGTACATACGCATGTGATGTATGCACCTACAGGGGGATGCAAAAAGTGTTAAGCCCCCCAGTCTGTACATACTCCGCCTACCTAGCAGCTCGTCAAATTCTGCCGGTCAAAACCTTTAAGTTTGTACATATACCAACCATTTGCTTCAATAACTTCCTTTACACGGTGAGACATTGTCTCACATAATATAATTGATTTATGTAGAGAGAGATTCATATACTCGTCTGCATGTTTTGGTATGGAGGTAGAATAGGTAGGCGGCAGGGCGGAGGGGGGCTAACACTTTTTGCGTCCCACTGTAGCACACTTTTCGGGCTCCAATGTCCCTGGCATCTATGAACCGAAGTATGCGCGCATCTTCGATGTCTTCATGCGTGAGGTATGCGCACGAATAAAAATTGTCCTCGTGGCTCTGCCGCCAAATTCTCTTCCCTTTTCATAAGAAGTGTGATTGATATCCGGCCGAGGATCAGTCGGACTCAAAAAAGGTCCTAGTTGCTCTCTGGCCCCCAACAGTTAATTTACTGCCATTTATTTGAGGTTGAACTAGCAGACGGACCTGTGGTTTAGACCCTAGATCAGAAAAAGGGCCAGCCATGTTCGATCACATCAAGACTATGGGAGAGACAGTATAACAATCTCTGTATGTGAATAAATCCTGATAAGGAGTGTGAACTGTGACAAGCAGAAGTATTTAGTCTGCTATCTGCAGTGCCACCGTTCTTTTCCTTCTCTACTTGAAGATTTAGCGATTTCTGGTGTTCTAAAGTAAGCCGAAACTGTATTCTGCTTCATGGAATGACTGGGCCTTGGTCGATAGCCTTCGGAAACTTTTCGACTGAACAAAATGTGGGCAATGGGGCTCCTCCATGGAGAGCGGAAGAAACCATTTTAAGAGCCAAGTCAAATAATTTCAGCCCTCCTTCCCTTGCTTTGATCCATATGTTGGTCTATGACTTGAGAATGTTGGTCCTCTCACTCGTTCACAGTCAACCTTACTCTTGCGTGAGACCAAAAATTCTGTTTATGCTTACCAGGTCAACAGGATGTGTCTTAACAGACCAGTCTCTGGCCAGATTGCCATATTGGGTATAGTGTTGTTATGACAGACAGATTGCTATATCAAGATGTAGTAGTACTTTTAAGAGACCAGGAACTGGTTAGATTGCTATATTAGGCTTAGTACTCTTAAGAGACCAGGCACTGGTTAGATTGCTATATTTAGGCTTAGTATTCTTAAGAGATCAGGCACTGCCCAGATCGCCATATTAGGATTAATATTCTTAGGATACCAGGTGCGGGCCAGATCGCCAAATTTAGTTTACTGTTTTTGAGTGAACAAGAACTGGTGCGGTTACCAAACTCGGTTTACTCTTTTTGAGAACCATGAACTGGTCAGATCACCAGACTGGGTTTAGGGCCTCTGACCTTCGTGGTACCGATAAGACCGACACGGACACAAGGAAAGCAGGGTAAGGCTCGGTCTACAAACGAAGGTTGGGGTCAGAATCGTGCCTCGCGAATAATTATATACGATCATGTGATCTTTGTTGTCAGAGATATAACCGAAGTAAAACTGCCTGGCGAGAATAGCATACATAGTGTTACGGTCTGGGCGTCTGGTAATCACCGAGTCATTTGTTTCCTGTATAATCCTGGTCTGTAGGGATTCAACTAGGTGATATGCTGCATTCCGAGATACTAGCTTTTATGCCAAGTTCCTTCGGGAATCGGCCGGCGTCTTTATATACAGCGGCTCGAGTAGCGCTGTATTTGGTATCCTGTTGTTCCACAGTTAGCCAGTGTTGGTCTATCGGCAGATTATTAAGGTTGATA